CGTAATTACAGGCGCGTTACGTCTCGTTTATCGCGAAATTGCACGTGTTTTTCTCCAAGGGAATTGCTATATCACGTTATTACCGCATCATCGTAAAAAGTACTTTCGTGACACTTTAAGTCCTTATTGCGTAAGCTGGTCAGATAGGAACTTGAGAAAAGAGGATTATACATAATCGCGATAAGCCTTTCATGTGCTATGATACTATTATCTTAATTTATATTAAAAAGAAAAGGGATTAGTTCTATTGCAGTAAAATGAAACATTATCTCTTAATCTCGCGCGTTTCTTATATTTCAAATCAATCGCACGTTATTTTTTTTAAATCCATTATTTTGCTTGTTTCATTTAGATTTAGATTCAAAAAGAGGTACATTGCGATTTGTCATGTCAAATTGATATCGACGAAAGGTACTTTTTGCGGCGCTTTGTATATTTGCAAGTATATTAAAGCGTAAATCTAATCATAATGCAGACACTCTTAAGTTAGTCCTGACACCAGTTCTAGTCTGGATCAGTCTGTGCTAAATGAACATACCGAGACACATACGCGCAACAAGTGTATTTCGCGCTATTCCATCTACATAAATTAGAGCAGTGGGACATATGCGATTTTCCCGTGATCGCATCACGTCGTCGAAAACTCACATGGAAGATCTCGACAATAACAGAGCTACAAGCAGTCCTCTTAGAAATATGTATCTAAAATATTCACAATGCTCAGAACTAACACGGAGCTCCCAAGGGAAGAATAGATCTACGCAAGGCGAATTTTTACAACTTGCGTATATAACGTGTCCTTCTAGGCAATATATTTTTTTATTTATTAAAACAGTATGTGCTCATAGTTTAATCCTGAATATTATTTAAGATGATATCTTTTTTCTATCATTCATTCACAAAAATGTCATAGATATCTCATGATATACTCACATTGATCCAATGAACGTATTATTCTTAGTGGAATATTGTATTTGGGATAAAGTTATCTCAATGTTGTCCCAAATTTTTAAAAAATCTTTTGACAGCTTTAAAAAGTTGAAAACATTAAAAATATTCGTTGAAATTGTTTCTTTATTTATTATAAATGAGAAAAAATATAAATAATAATAAATCTCTTTAATAAATCCTTTAAAATTTCATCTAATAAATAGAAAAGCGCTAAATTTTGGACCAATGTTACCCTATCTTACGGTACTAAAAATAATTCCACAATAGTTTACGAAACTGAAGAGAAAAAAGGATATTCAATGTGCAATATCGAAGAAACTGGAGTATTTTACGAGTCACAAACCGAACAATTGGCCGGTAGAAAAGAAACCATTGTGTCTTCCTATAAATCGACAGAATTCGTTTCACGGTTGAAAATATTCAGACCGCGTTGCAGTTAAAGCACTCAAACTAGAGTAGCGAACGGTCTGTTTGCCAAGCGATTCACCGCGATCCTCGAATCCTTTCGGAACACGTGGAAAATTTGGTCATTGCAAAGCCACTCGTCGCTTTTATCGGGATGCGCCGTCGTGACCGACTTATTGGATTCGGATTTATGCGCGTGACATATCTCGCTTATCGCATAACACATAATGTTTAAGTAAACGAATAGTTTCAACGGATAAATCTAAGGCTAAAATTTCTCTTTAAAGCTTAAAGATGTTATATGACGAACGAATGATGCAAATATTAAATTACATTTAATCTTATGGCAATGTATAAAAAAATAAAGAAAAAAAAATAGCACATTTGCATAAAAAGTCGGATTATATCTTTGAGATAATGTTTGAATTTATGTAAGCCACGCTTATAACACGCGTTGTACGTTTATAAGCGAAAATTACTCCTTAGCAAGCGTTGTAAATAGCGTCATAAAATCTATTCTTCTGTTGGTAGCGAAAATCAAAATGCTTACGCAGGGGTTCGCGATACAATTTCTTTGAGACTCGGAGCAACGACGACTCGTAAAGGCTACATGTGTTATATAGTACAGTAAAATACGAGCTGTGGGGTTTCTGGTTTTAGACTGAAGCGATTAATACCTGAATCCTGCACGTGATCGGCTCCTGCATGTATCTGAAAAAGGAAAAAAAAAAAACACGAGAAATTTATTTTTCAGATATATAACGCGAATTTATTTTTGAATCTTAAGTGTATTTTTATTCTAACAAAATTTCAATTCTAAAACTTAATGAAATTACAAAATATAACGAAATTATTTAATTAAAAGATTTACGAAATGTAGTAATATGTAATCAAGAAATATACATAGATATATTCGTAGATGACAAACATCATTATTATTATTATTAGGCGAGTTTTATTTAAATAATGTAATTAGAATTTCGCTTCACCGACCTGAGCAACGGCCTCCTCTTGCCCCCGGAGGGAATCTTTTCTATCTGGTGGTTCCTCTGATTTCGCGATTTTGCGAACAAGCTTCTGGTAACTACTGGAATCCCGCGGTGGCGGTGCTTCGGGAGCTCTCCTCTTTTTCACCATGTTCACGTCGGGGTCCACAACAGTCCTTATCGATTCATTCTCGCCGAAAGTTTCTGAGTGAATCACAGTGAAGCCGCCCAGAAACTGCACCGACTTTTTCGCGCCGGTCTTTGCTAACATCGCACACACTTCCACATCGGACGTGTGCGAGTCGTTCTTTTCATATCGCTTCGTCACCTTCAATCCCATTTCCGTCGTCTTGATTGGATCGTCGGGAGAATTTTTTGAGACCCTCGGGGCGAACGTCGAAGGTTGAGTTTTATTGAACGACATTTTGGGAAAGTTATCATCGTTTGATTTCATATTCTCTTCATCTTTCATTTCCTTTCCCTCCGTTATTACTTCCGGCCGTTGCGAATTTCTCGCGGCAACGGGCACTGCTTGGCTCTTCGTAAACTTATGCCTAACTACTTTCTCCCTATCGTTAATTTTAGAATGTCTCTCGACGGTCGTCGCGTCGCCCCGAATCTCGTAATACTTAACGAAACTCTTAACTTTACCCGGGGTTATCGTTACAACGTCGCGGAACGATTGGTCGGTACTTACATTAGCTACGGGTGTTACGGCCCTGTTATTGTCATTATTACAAGGGTTTACAGAAGTAATTTTCCTAGCTATGGCACACTTATCGCCGCTACCCATCGTATCCTCTACTAATGCTAATGCCGACCGATTTGCGATTCTCCTTCGATCATCGTCGGCTTCATCATTCGCGATTACTTTGTCAGTCTTTTCTTCGCCGCGAGTATGAATCTCCATCGAAGCTGTTTCGCGTTTCTTCCTGTTTTCCAGGCTGTTCCTGCATGACACGTCCGTGATCATATTGAATTCTCTACTATCGAAAATCTTGTTCATCGTCGCGGGTGCCCCGATGGGAATTCTCTTTTGGAATTCGTTCGCCTGCTGTCGCTCGCAGTCAACATTTTTTTTCTTAAGTATCGTCTTGAGAACATTTCGCGATTTTTTAGGTTCTCGATTGACCTCGATCGCACTTTCTATGCTTTCAAACGTTTTCTCGATTTTTGTGTTTACGCGAATCTCTTCTGATTTGATACTCGAAGAATTTTTGTCGATCTTCATTTTTGAGTCATCTTTCGTGATTTTATTTTCGATATCGCAGGGTAATTCATTGGGCTTCTTAGTTTCAATATTTTTATTCTTTGTGATAGTTTTTGGATCACGAGTATCTTCCTTGAGATTTTGTGGCGTCTCCTTAATCTTCATTTTTGTGAAGTTTTCTTCCTTTGTAATCTTATCAATGATTATTGTATTATTATCCACGTTAGTGATCTTGACATTTGCAGGAATACTGCAAATTTCATTTTGAGATTTTTCAAACGATTTAGATGCAGTTTCTCTTTTTTTAGAAATTTTATTATTGATCGTAACCGAGCGAGTAATATTTTTGTCATCGTCTATCTCTGCTACTGGTTTCTTATTCTCGGGACTCACTATTTTTAACTTTATGTTGTTAAAATTGCAAAGAAGTTCATTCAATACGTCATTCTTTACATCACTGGCACTTTTGTTCTCTGGTTGCGTTGATTTTATATCAATATTTGAAACCTTGACAATACTTTCTCTACCTCTTATCACTTCTTTGGAGCTTTTTAAAACTGTTTGATCCTTTATATCAATTTTTGTATCATGGAAATCACGCGTACGTTCACTTTCTATTGCGATGTTTGTATTTAATTCTTGAATTTTATTTGGTGACTTTGAAGCACTTAATTCCTTATCTGTATTTGTAGAAGTCACAGGTGTTATCGCGCAATTCATCGAAATATCTGTCGAATCATCGGAGAGCATCGTTTCCAAAAAAGAATTTCGTCTTATTTTCACAGGAATATTTTTCGCAAAAACGTCTTCCGATGGCGAAGTTTTCTCGCGATTATTCTTGGAATCCACGAAAGAATTACTTGTCTCCGTATTCTCTTCATGTAATCGTTGAGTTTTTTCTGAGTTTTTGATCAATTTGTTTGTGAGATTGTCAGTGATAGTGCTTTTGCTAGATTTATCGTCGTGTTTATTTAAAAAATTTTTGGCTGACTCATCGATGAGGATTTTTTCGTTCTTGGCAATACTCTTCTCTTTGATGTCACCGCTAGTTTTTTTCAAAAATATTTCTTTTTCTCGATGTGTGCTTTGAGTTATTTTCGCCGTTTTTTCAACTTTGCAAGCCGTTTCTGAGCTTTTATCTGTAAAACGGCGAATGTTCTTCGCGACTTCTGGAGAAGTATTACTTTGATCCACTTGCTTTGCATCGTATCTTTCATTTGGAATAGCTTTCCTCGTTATCGTTGTTATTGTATTTTCCTTTCCGGTTTCGAGTATCTCATCGCTAGCCTGCACGCTTGGCGATATTAAATCAAAATCCCCTTCACGAATTCTCTCGCGATTAACGTCGTTATTTCTATCGTCACAATGCGTCTGTGAAATCGCCTTTAATTTCGTGTCTACCTTGTTTGCGTCGGCCAGCACAAAAGGGTCGTCTTCTCCCGTCGTGGAATTTCCTTTCTCGACACTCGACGAATATGATTTATCTCGCGTTTTGTCGCGGCAACCTTTTACATTCACGAATTCATCTCGGATTTCAGTCAGTTTCACGGAAGAAGCAGCGCTTTGTTCATCGTTGAGAATAGATTCGCAGCTCCGTAAACTGTCACGCGGCACACCGATTTTTACATCAGAATCGCGAATTTTGGATCCAGAAGAACTCGGCGATTCGATCATGAATCGTACTTTCGTGTCTACACGACACTTTGAATCGTCATTATTATCGAAAATGTCACATTCAAACAAGTTTTCGTCATTTTTTTCATCATTCTCGTTCGAATTGTCATCTTCGAATTGGTGATCATCGAAATTCCGAACGGACACACCGTGCTCGAAAGGATCCTTCCATCCGCCCAGACACTTCTCAAACGGAAGATTTGTCGTTGTCACGCGAAAACAGACGTCACCATCATCATCATCCAATATATGCACCTTCGATGATTCTTTTTCGTGTAAATTTTGCGAGTTCTCGGGATCAGGCGTGATTGCGGAATAGTCTCTGTCCCACGCGTCGGACACTACGTTTTCAAAATCCTTCAACGTGAAAAAGAGCGATGGATATTTGTCGCCTTTTTGCTTAGATGCGACTTTGTGGGAAGATCGAAACGATGATTTCGACGTGCTTGATTTCGAAACTGGATCATCGTTCGCACTCATCGTCGAATGATGATCTCTCATCAATGTTATATCGTCGTCAAATTTCGTTGCCATTATTCTCGTCGCGATATCGATGATGCGACTTTCGCGCTGATGTTCGTTTTTGGTTATTGAACATCTCGTCGCGATGTCACATTGCGGCGGCTGGATTCTGGTAGATCGAGATTTGTTTCGTTGACATTTTTCCGGGAGGGGTGCTGATGGTAGTGGTGGTGGCAGCGGCGGTGGCGGACGTTTTTGCTGAGGTATCACGATGTCTTTCATGGTTTCCGTTGCACCACTGCTTGCCACCGAAGATTCGATCGACATGATTTTGATCTTACGTTTAGTTCGTCGCGGTGGCACGGGTGGTTCGGTCGCATTTTCGTTATCTGCCATAGAAAAATATTCGAAACCTTAGAGAAAATTCTTTAACTTTGATAGAAAATAGAAAAATCTATTTCATATTATTTTAAAGTGATTGTTTGAATATTATTCATGATTATTATTATGATATTCATACGATTCTTACAATTCTTACAATACATAATGCCAACAGTGATAGAGGGTCATTCTTAATATAGACGAAATTCAGAACGTGAACGCGAGAGAGTAACCACGGCGTTGAACTGTCTGAGACATACTACAGATGATTCCTTAGAAATGACAGGCGTCCCTTTCCCTCTCTTTCTTGTTACACGATTAATACCAATATACCAATGCTTATATACCATTGCTAAGCTTTAATTTCGTGTATGTGATTTTGATGTGATTTTATTAAAAACAGAAATGCAAGAACATTGCATTTTATTACAATATTATCAGAAAAATTACATTGCATTATATTATAATATATTATATGAAAAAGTTAATGCATAAAAATATTTACATTTTAAATCTTAGTCCATTTATATGTATAGATTTAATCAACAAATATATTATTTAATTACATGAAATTATTTTTAGCTTTGCTGAATAATTAAATAAATATTTTGTTTTTATTTTTCTTGTGAAATGTGTCTTTTTTTTAAATAAATTCAATCTAAACTGGTAAGAACGATTACGAACTTATTTGGTAGCTCGAGAAAGGCTTCGCTAAACGGATAATAACAATTCGATTATACTCGAGGCGAATACTACATGTGTTCGGCTATATATATCTAGCGAGGAGTCTTTTTTCAAACAGAATTTTTTATCAGATTCAATCATGCGGTCAATTTGTATTACATTACTCCGGAAGATGTAACAAGTCGCCGAGAGATTTTACGTCGTTAAAATTTTATATAAATATAAAATAGACATACGATATTATATTGATACGTTACTTACCTAAATGAAAACTTGACGACTTGTTCTACTGACATCGAAATCTTCTATAGACAGCAACATGCTGGCAGATTTTAACGTGTTATTGTCACCGAAATCAGTCATGTATAGATTATTTGCATTATTATGATTGCCCATTGCGCTGGATGCGGCGCTGCTATATGCACTTGAAGTATTCTGCACCGATGCTACGTCAGTGGTTTTCTGAACAATCCATTTGTTCATCATGCTGGACGTTTCCGCTTCCGACGACACGTCAAATTTAATGTCACTACGAACAAGAAAAAGAGAACAAAAGAATTGACTTTATGTAATACAACGAATGGTATTTGGTATATTTTATATAATCAATAATTCGCAAAATTAATCAATTATATTATTCAATTGAAAAAAGGTAATATAAAACTGTATTCTAATTTATTCAAAGCTAATAACTAAATTTGTTTTCGTAAAATATTGCTCGTTGTTTTAGAAAAAAATTAAATTGTTAAATAAATTGTATCGATTGAAATACTCACTGTAAATAATTGTTCTCTACAGAATCCTGACCTTGGTCATTTCTTGATTCTATGCTCTTTTGAATAGCGGGCTGCGAAAGAACCAACTCAATCGTTTCGGACGAGCTCTGCAGCATCTTCAGAGCATCCTCGTAACGAAGATTCAGCAGATTCTGTCCGTTTATTGCTACGATCCGGTCACCTGTCAAATGAAAATTGATTAAAATATTTATATATGTAATTATTTATTCCTGTAATTTTTTAATTTGAATTTATTTATTCATCATTATTATGTCACTGGTTTTTCGATTTATCCATTTATTAACATTACAACTTGAGACTACAATTTTAATTTTGAGTAAGATATTTTATTTTCTTTGAAGCAACATCAAACTTTTGCTCATGTACCTTTATTTACGTTTCCGGCCATATCGGCTGATCCGCCAACAGAGACCGCTTGAACGTAAACGCCACCGTCGTTACCTTCCATCACTTGCAAACCTATGCTACCACCGTGGCCGCGTTCCAACTTGATCGTGTGCAAAATTCGTTCCTCGGCAAACGACAGTTCTTCCAAACGAGCCATTAAGGATGCAGACATTGATTCGTCCTCCGGGACTCGAAATGTTTCGTCGTCAGTTCGTATATCGGCATCTACCGAGACAAAAGACAAGTGGATTTAAATAAAACTTTTACTTTGGTAGTGATATTTCTGATAAGTAAAATTTTTAAACGAACACAAGATTGTTTAGATATAATAATAGCACCATTATTGGATTAGTTGGATTAGAAATAAAAATTTGATTAAAGTATATTTCGTAAAAATATTCGTCAGAATATTTTTATATTGAAATGTAATTTTTCTATAATGTTTCTTATTTTTGCAATATTTTTAATCACATAAACACAATGTAAACTTTTTTTATATAAGAGGAATTTCTATATATAAAATATATTTTTAATTATTACTAACTCAGCACATATGCTTCCGGCATGGGTGATTCGGTAGATTGCGCTGATAATGATTGAATAGATGATTCGGTATCGGATTTCAAAGACAATGATTCCGTTTCGTCGGTAAGCGCGGTATCTTTCTGGACCAAGCTGCTGTAAATCGCTCGTGTTCCCATTTTTACACCCAATCGACGTGGCAGGCTTGGTGTACGTAAACCACTCGACTGTTTCGGTGCGCCGTAGTTCGGTAAACTTGATGTCTTCATCTAAAATGATAATTATTAATTATTAAACAAAAATGTACAAGATATATTTTAAAAATAATCTTAAGACAAAAGTTTAACAACAGCAAATTCGGATATTAACAATAATGAAAAGTTAGTTAACGATTGATATAATTGAGATTTTACTTTTTGCAATGTCTTCTTTACGTCTGACACGTTCCAAACTTCATCCGGAACAGGAAACTCGCTCTTTTTCGATAGACGAACCTTATTAATAGCGGCGTATAATTCTTCAGGATTGTTAGGTTTATCCAACTGATTAATGTTGTTCGATATAACTTTTGGAAGCGAATATGTACATTCGGTTTCAGCTTCGCTGTCTAAACCGGGACGACCATAGAATTTGTCGTGCTCCAATTTTGTTTCTTTGGGTTCCAATAAGATTTCGTGCGGTGTCGTTAAGCCTCTCTCTGATTCTTCCTCTGTGTCTCGCGATTGACCTTCTGGTTCTAATCGCACATTTACTTGTGCATAAAGAGCATCTTCTTCGGATGAAAAAAAGCCGGGTTCACGACCAGTCTCCTTCGTTGTCACTACAATTGTGTCCTTTTGAGGATTTTCGTTCTCCTTATTTTGATATTCCTCCAATTGCATCGGATAGTTTATTTTCTGTTGCATTTTAATCGCGTTTGCGATCGTTATCTTAGTTTTACCGTCACCAATCTTGGATTTCAATGGTGAAGGTTTTGCTTCCGTTGTCAGAGGCACCCCAAAGTCTAAAAGAACATAAGTTGATTGCTTCTGAATATTTATATATTAATTTAATTTAAAAAATACCATTTTTCAAATTTATAATTTTAATAAACTTTATTTACATTAATTGTTATATTTTAAGAACTAAGAAATCTAATAAAAATAGGAAACATGATAAATCGATAAATTATTAATAATAATAAAAATATTGACTCTAAAGAAATGTTCCGGTTCATTACTTTCTGTCAAATTGTCAGAATAATTGTTAAAAATTTCAATTCATTTTCTGTGATATTTTCCAGAAAACTTTCATAGACGAGGGAGATCAAAATCCGTGCGGCAAAGTGTCACAATTTAGCTAGTTTCCTGTCACATTACTTTCACGGAAGTTCAAGTTCTAAACATTTCAACGAGCTTAATCGGTAGGAAAGAGCGCGCGTACCTTTAGCGAGGCCCTGAAGCGACGTGAGCTCCGAGCGAAGTCTGAGGAAGAACTGATGATGCAGGGAGGTGAGCTTGAAGGCGAAGTAACTTCTAGAAAATAGAAAGGTACTTTATGCAAGTCGTTGTTGTAAGCGGTGATGGGCGGCGATGCACAACGAGCACTCGATATACATTTCCGAATGCTCGTCGGCACTCCGTGTCGTTTAAAGTCATTCACTCGATCGATCTTCGAAACTGCAAACTTACTTTCGATGATCCATCCGTAGTTTGAACTTGCATCGTTTCCCATTCAGCTTGCTGTACACCACCAGGCAACTCTTGCTGTAACTTAACGTCTGCACGTCCCGCCATTGAAAGTGGGCCAATTCCGTTCTCTCCCTCGGCTCGCCCCCTCGTTCTAACAATTTTAAACCTTGAGAATGTATCGCCAGCCATACGTTGCTCTCCGTCTTCTTCTTATTACTCTTATTATTGTTCTTGTTGCCTTTAATGCCATTAATATTATTAATATTGTTGTTATTATTGTTGTTACACGTTACTTCGTCGTGGCACAATTTCGCCACGTTCTTTTTGCGCTCGTCCGAATAGGGTATCATCGGCACGTTCTCGCGAGAACTTAATCGCGGGATTCTGCTGTAAACAGGACAGGTCTCTCGGGCGGATTTCTCCTGGCGATAAGCATTTCCCGTGCCGTCGAGGGACGACACGACATCGCGGTTGTCGGACACGGCGCTCTTGCCCTTTCTCTGCCGCGTCATCAGTTTCTCGAGCTCCTTCGAATCCACCGTGGCGATGTAGTAGTGCGAACCGTAATCCGGTAGGGACTGCGCGTGAGTTATGAACATCTCCTCGGCTTTGTTCGAGTCCAAGCCACGGCGGTCGCGGTGAGCGCGGTGTAGCTGCGCCCGAAGTGTATCGGCGTCGACGCAGGGCTGCGATTGATGCCGGTCCGCGCTCAATATCAAGGACTCCGGCACGTAGTGCTCGAGGAGGAAGTAATCCCCGCAGCCGTGCTCCTGTGGGATACATATCGGTAACTCCGATGAAGCGGAGAATGATCCGATCGCGCGCGGATTACGCCAGAATTATTTTGTCACAATTTTGTCACAACGGATCAAAATAACGCCTTTGACAATTAACTACTTACTTAAGCTGCCGAGAGCCGAGACTTAACTATAGACTTAATACTATAGATTAATAGTTGAACTCTGTAGTTTAATAATTGAATTTACAGGAATTATTACTATATCTATATTTTAACATAAAATCTAATCTAAGACATATTGCCGGATGAAAAAGATGACATCAATTCTGAAATATACGTACGGTATTTGTTTCTTTTAATTCATTTCACTTTTATAAATTTTAGAATTTGACACTTCAAAAAAATCTTTGATATTGAAATTTTTAATTTACAATCGATGTAAATTCAAATATCTATATTTATATATCTATATTTCGAAGTCGTATAGAAGTTAATTACATTCCATTAAGTAAATGTAGACTTTTTATCTATATTAATATTCTCTATCTATCGTATTATAGTTTCTCATTTTATCTAATTCCTAAAGTTTAACAATCGTTCCTCGAATATTTCACTATTTCGTATCGTGACGCTAATTTCATCTCAAGTAGCGCGTGTCGTATGAATCACTCGTTAACTCACGTTGACGTTGTAGTTTCCAAATTCAGCTTGAAGTGCAAGGCCCGTTAAATTGATTAATTCGGAATATGGGCAGACCAACTGCTGCTCCAGTATACATCGCCTTATTTGTAGATATAGCAGATGCTTCGATATCCAGCTTCTGAAAGCGGATACGGATGCAAGTTAGTTAGTCGCATTCGAATCGAACGTATTATTGTTATCGGGCTTGAAACGAACCTGGTGCCACGAAGAGATGGCAGAAAAAATCGAAGCCGCAAATAGAGCATGAAACTAGTTGGTAGACCTAGTAAGCCTTTGCTTTTGCCACTGCTTAACCATCCCGGTGGCGCGACCTTATTTAATTTCGTGTCGGGTGGTAACATCGCGAAATCCCCGGCCAGTAGCACAGCCAATCCTAGAGTGAAGTTTTCGTCGAGGCTTTCCGCTTGGACAATAGCCTGAAAGGATTTGCGTGTACAACGTGTAAAATAATATATTAAAGATTTATGTCTGACTAAGATAAATCAATGTATCGTATGTTAGTTTAATAATGATAATAGCTTTAATGATATATGAGAGCAGATATAATATCATATGAATGAATACTATTTAATTCAAATATAATTTTTTTATAATTCTTTGCTATAGCATGAACATGTAATACATGTTTTTGTATTTTTAATTGATATTCTTCTACAATGTATGTAAGAGATACAAGGAAAAATGCTGCAATAGAATCTATAAGCTATGATTCATCGCGGAATTATTATGCGAGACAAGCAATTAAATGCAGAGAGCACGAGTGTGCATTTGATTGCTCTAAAAAATTATTATGGCGCAACATGATATGCATTTCTGGCGCAGAGGTAATTTCTATTGGTGTGAATTTTTAAAAATAATCCAATTGAGAAGTTCTCAACGAGCTTCGAGTTTCGAGCTCTGTAAATCAACCAAATTTATTAAAAATTGTACGATAAAATACTCCGGTCACGTTCAAGAGCTTGAATTAAGTGGCTGATATAAGAAGAGTTGCAAGCTCGAGACACAGAGACTGTCTTTTTAAACTACTAGCGAATCTAAATGCTATTCAATTTCTCCGCTTCAACTTGTGCAACATATTTACAAGAAAGTATATTATAAATATTCTATTTTCTGCTGAATTTTGAAGACACCGTTTGTTACTTCAACGGAACAAATTAATTGTTTTTAATTATATATCATGAATTTTGTTTTGACTCTTTAATATTCCTATAAATAATTTAGAATAACATTCACCGATTCTTTTATTGATAATTTCATGGTAAATCTGTTAAATCTGTAGAAAACGGTATTGTTGGATTTGAACAAATATTATTAAAGAATAGATTTTTTTTTATGGGAAAAGGAATTGCGCGATACGTTTGTCGTCGAGATCACATAACTCGTGGTTTGTGGATCTGTCGTATATAATGATTAGGCTTGGCGGCTCGCCAGAACTTCTCGCGAGTTCACGCCGGAATTTGTGGTCTCGTAAACAACCGGCCATGTCTTGGCTTTCGCGGGCTAAGTGTGGCTTCGAGAGGCCACCATCGCACGAACATTATGATCAAAGTACCATCCGCTTGAAACTAGCGGATGAAGTATATTTTTTAAAGGATGTTTAGTGAGGTATACCGGCAGAGTATATTTTTCCGTGTACAGTAAATGAAAAATAATTTTTTCACTTGCGAGACGCCATATATTCCACTTATAGATGATACAATTTATTAGCGTCCTGAGAAATTCAGAGAAGAATCTTGTGACATAGAAAAGTTGCACACTGTGTAAAATATGAAATATTACATTTGAAGAAACATCACTAAATTGATTTTAAAATATTTTAATATTTTCTCTTGAATGTACGATTTTTACTGTCACTTTATTATCTTCGGATTATATATACAAATTTAAAAATGTGAAAGTAATAATCATTAATCGCATTTGTCATTCACAAATAAATGTATATCTTTGCGAAGGATTGTTAATGAAATGATTGTTAATGATTATATTAACGATATCACAAATGATGATCAACATGTTTCACGTGTTTCATCACATTTTTAATACTTTAAATTACCATTAAACTTTAAACTTTGAAAAATGTCAGGATAATATTTTTTTATAATTAATATGTTTTTGAAAATACCGAATAAGTTCTGTAAATATAGTTTTTTTCTTTTTTTAGTTATCGAGATATTTATCATAGTTAAATTGCAGATAAAAAATTGACAAATTTAGAATACTGATTTTTTTAAAAGTTTACCTGGAATAAATCCCCAGCAGTGACCTTTTGAGGGTCGCAGGTTACTTCCACGCGTTGTCCTGTCAGCATTATTACGACTATCCGGCCAGAGTTGCCCGCCTACGCAAATGAACAAGTTATTAGTTTACCATGGTATCATTCTATCTCCCCTCTCCTCCTTTCTCTCTCTCCTTCTTTCTTCCTTCATTTTTATTTCTTTTTTCGCAATTTTATGTTTGTATAGTTATTTATTTCAAGCTATTTTGCATCAAAAAAGTATAAATCTATTCATAAAAGATATAGAATTATTTTACGGAAAACTCTATAAGTGGAATTTATTTTTATTTATTATTTTAATAATTAATATTTGTGTATTTGATACAAATTACAAACATATTTTATATAAAATATAGAATATCAAACTTTACAATATTTAAATTTAAATCCCTTTTTAAATTTAATAAAATATTTTAGTTGAATAAAATTAATATTAATTTAGAAAATAATCATTGATTGTTGATTTTTGTTATCAAGGAGATATGAAAGTCTGGAATTATATTGAAATAATCCATATTGTTCATGCAAAGCCACGTATACAACCAAGTTTGAGGACCATACCGAAATCCGGTATGGTCTAGTGGCTAGGATACCTGGCTTTCACCCAGGAGGCTCGGGTTCGATTCCCGGTACCGGAATATCTTTTTATCTTCGATTTCTTCTATATAGGTTGAAGTATGTTCTTAAGGTCACCCCTTAGTGTAATCCGGTATGGTCTAGTGGCTAGGATACCTGGCTTTCACCCAGGAGGCTCGGGTTCGATTCCCGGTACCGGAATCTTTTTTTTTCTTTTTTTTATTTTAGAATTTCGCAAAAAATGAGAAAAATAAAAATAATAATTGCAGTATAAACAGAAAATAAATAATAAATAAAAATATTTTTATTAATATATACTTTCAATGTCTTATCTGCAGAACTAAGGTTAATTAAAATATTAAATTAAAACAGATATAATATACTAAATTGTTTTACAATTGTATCTTAAAGATCAAACGTGTATTTGAATACATTTTTATATATTAAATGTTGAATAATTACGCAATAATGTTTTATTAGCCATGTTGCGTTATTACTTTTGTTTTACATTCAATAAAATTAAATTATATTTTGCAATATAATAATTTATTACATTTGTCGATATTAATT